TACAATTTCCCTTGTTGACCTTTACTGAGGAAATAAGAAATTCTTTCTTAGATACTAAAAATAATCATGACAAAGTAGAGTTTCTCTAAACTCTCCAGTTGGCTTTCAATATAGGCATTAAGGAGAATCTAAAGCATTACCTTGGTGAGTAGCAAGTAAACCATGGCAAGCCTGAGCACTGTCGGTTTGCCATGTTTTCTCACAAAAAACAGTGACCCACTGCTAAGTTGCAGCAGGGCATGGCTGGGCACCACTAATTATGTCACACAGCACATCACTTGCCAGTAGCTGAACAGGAGCGGCTCAGTCTGCAAACAGGAGCATGTTACACAACACAGTACCCTGTGAGAGGTTGGGCTTGACTCTCACACAAATGAAATACCATCAGTTACAATCAACATGACCAGTGACAAATTATTGCATTGCAGGGAGCACTTCTACAAGACACCTGGCTGCAGGGTGCAAACTCCGTATGGGAAAGGCAAGCACTCTTTGGAATGGTACAACTCATTCTGGGTATCATGGCAGAATTGCTGTCAATGTTCCTAACAACATGCACACAGTTTGCAGGGTGGCTCACAAAAGGAACAATATAATTTTATTGTGTACTGGTAAAGAGCAACAATCAGTGCCAGAAAGATAAACTGTGTTCCAGCCATCCAGGCTGGTGCCACCCTGAAAGTTTTGGTTTTGTTATGCTAAAAGTGAATTACCTGATTCTGCTCACATTGTTGCTACACTACTGATCTAGGTCTGTGCTACACCTTTATCATTTGATCAACTGGGCTGAGCGCTCCTAGACCAAACAGTGAAATCACTGAGACTTCCAATAATAAGAAAAAAGACAATATTCCTCAGTTCTCCACTAATGGGCTTTTGAGAACTTTCAAAATTCATCTGATAAACTGCACCATTCTTTGGGTTTGTCAAACCTTGTGGTTTATCAACACTTTGTAATAAGTGCAAGTCTTTCTCAGACTATAAACAATGAGACAGTCAATGGTAACTTAAAGTTATCACTTCTGCATGCAGCATTTCAAGTATCAGCAAGCAAATGTGTGTTGTGCAGGAGAAAGCTGCTGCCCTTTTTCTTTCTAGCTAGATGTCTATCTTTGCACAGCCACAAACTAGGGCTTGATGAGAAAGTATCCAAATATATACTCCCATTTGCAGCACAATTATGGATCTTAAAAGGTAAGAAACATCTATCACCACCCACCAGCTTTAAATTGGACTTAAGTTTTGACTTACAAGTGACATTTGCTAGAAGAAACAGATGTAAAAAGGAGAAGCCACTTCCCAGCCACTGAAATTATTACACAGAAGTAACCTGGGGACGACCATCAGGAGAAACTGGAATCGCCACGGTTATGCTCCATTAGACACTTTTTAAAATAACAAGCTGTATCCCCGGCATGAGTTTGTGACACTTTCCAGAAAGCACTTTCATGGTTGTCACTGGCCAAAAATATCCCATTCCCACTGTTTTTCCACCATATAAATTGAGATTTGTATCAGAGATTGGTGCTGTTCTCCCATTGCTAAAAATTCAGATTTTTTTTTTTTAGTCTCTTTTCCATTTTGCTGACTCTACGAGTTTTCCAGCTACATTACCAGGTTCTGGAAGGATTCAACCTATGGTGTAGGGATGCTGAGTGATCGCTCTGTGACATCACTCTGCCAGCAGAAGGCACCAAGACAGACACACATCATTGCACTATGCTTTCCCCCACACCAACTCAGGCAAATGCTGGGTGCAAGAACTACCTGCCATTACTGCATAAATATTTTAAGCCTCCTAACAGGTCCAAAATAGATCTGTTGGGCTTTCATTACAGTCTTAATCATCGTAGTATGTACTTGAACACAGGAAAAAAAAAAGTTTCTATATTTCTCCTCACATTTCTTTTTCCACCTCATTGCACTGCCCTTCTACAGCCACATAGTCGGTCATTTGAATCTTGCTTATACTGAAAACATAGCAGATGCCGTACTAAACCACAAAACCATCAGTGCCCGCTTGGAGGAGTGCACAACTTAAATCAGTGTCAGGAGCAATGATGATCAACTTGATCGATCAGCCAGTCAGAAGTTCTGCCACCCAGTGGCAGATGCTTTGCATCAGCTTTACAAATTTCAGTGGTTAAATAGCAGTAAATTATATCCCAAGACTCTTGATACATTATTCTACTTACTGTATGTCCTGGGTTCAGCTACAGCAGTCATTTTTTCTCCTTCTTAGTAGCTGGTGCAGTGCTGTGTTTTTGACTTTCAGTCTGCGAACAATGCTGATAACACCGATGTTTTTAGTTGTTGCTCAGTAATGTTTACTCTGACCAAGGACTTTCTCAGTCTCATGCTTTGCCAGAGAGGAGGGGAAGCCAGGAGGAAGCAGAGGCAGGACACCTGACCCAAACTGGCCAAAGGGGGATTCCATACCACAGCACGTCATGCCCAGTATATAAACTGGGGGGAGTTACCCGGAAGGCCCAGATCGCTGCTCGGGTCGGGCTGGATATCGGTCGGCGGGTGGTGAGCGGTTGTGTCCTCTCCCCTTGTTATTCCTCTTATCATTATTATTGGTAGCAGTAGTGGTTTGTATTATACCGTAGTTGCTGGAGTGCTGTTATCTCAACCCGTGGGAGTTACATTCCTTTGATTCTCCTCCCCATCCCTCCGGGAGTGGGGGGAGGAAGGAAAAGGGGGGGAGGGAGCGAGCGGCTGCGTGGTTCTGAGTTACCGGCTGGGCTTAAACCACGACACTGTATACACCAAAGCCATGGTAATACTTCACTTATTAGTTTGTACTGTTACCTGATGCTGTTTTTGATGCTTACTGCCAGCTCACAGTAATCATTAGTAATTTAAAAATCATTAGTAATTTACAGTATGGCATCCCCAGAAAATAAAGATATGAATTCTGTATTGATTTACAGCATTACATCCACAGAAAATAAAAAGATTTCATGAAGTCCTCTCTTTGCCAACAGTATTCAGAGTTTGAAAGTCACTACAAGCTTAGCTAAATCGAGGTAGATTTTAGATGAACCCCAGCCATTGCTGAAAAAATGAAATTTCTCATGCTCTTTGCATTGTGGTAAAAGTTCTGAGCACCTGGACAGCACAAAGGAAACAAACCTGTACCGACAGGTTCTGCCTTGATGAGAAAGCATAGCACTACTGACCACCTGTGTTAGACCTGATAATCCTTCCCAGAGCTGGAGCTAAAGCTGGTGTAGCTGTGACTCTCCAGAAGAAGAAATAATTATTTTTCCCTCAGAAAACTGAGAGCAGCTGGGAGAAAATATTTCTCTAAAACACATATAACCTTATTGAAGTATTTAGTGAGAAAGGAACTGACAGATCTTGCAATAAAAACGATGTAGTGAAAAAATAACAGTATCTTAAACAGATTAAAATATAACATTTTACTAGTTATTTCAAAGAATAGACTTTTTTTTCTTCCACCATTCTTATCTAAATATTCAGACTCTAGCTAAATTCCAAACAGTTTTTTGTTTTTTTTTTTTTTTTTTTTTTTTTTGTTAGGTACCAAGTGCAAATATGTCAAGATAAAAGAGTTACGAGAAAGAAATTCCAGGTCTTTGTTTTTTTGCCTTGCGTGGTAGGCTACATTGTGTTTCTCATGCCTAAAACCAAGCACCATCTCTCAAAATTTTTGGTTGGAAACCTCAGCTTGAAAAGGAGGCATTTGACAGAACTGTCACATTTACATCGGCATAACATGCGAACAGCTTCTAAAAGACAAACATTAAGAGGAATTAAGGGTGAGAACCTGTGCAAAAGGAAAACAACCACAGTAGCAGAAATTGGTTTACTGCCACAGCAGAACCAACAGTCATGGTCATCCAGATCTTGTGATGAAACTTCAACTATAGCAACAGGAAAAGAACGATGATACCAATAATTTCCTTACTAATTGTAAACATTTATCTGTTGACTCTTCCTATCTTTCAAGAGGTATCCATATTGTTCTTACAACCAGTTTGAGGTTATCCTGAAAAAAAAAGTTTACGTAATAAAACAGGACACGCTTCTTATGTGAATATATATCTTTTTTTTTTTTTTTTTTCCTTTTCCTTTCCTATATCACATTGGAGAAAAATACTTTAGTTTGTATTGCTAATGTCTTTTAGGTATCGGTGACTATGAACTGTGGCATTTCTCAGGCCCCTATTCAAGCTGTAATACAACACACTCACTACTTAGAGGCACAAATAGAAATTATAAGCAGGAGCCAAAACTTATGTGGTGTATTTTACAAGTAATGCTTACTTAAAGTTTTTGAAACAATTCTCTGTGTCTGTTGTGACTCCCTCTGCCCTTCACAGATACATTTATGCATATCAGCCTCATAAAACATTCAGTTTTTATCCTCTTCACCATGATCCATTTGTCTTTTCAACAGGTTTATGTTCAACACTATTGGAGTGGAATGGTGATTATACCATTTAACCGACCAGCTAGCTGGGCTTGAAATGCAACCATCCCTTTCCTATTAATTACTCTTTAATGCCTATTCCTATCACACAGACTCGTGTATCATCCTGGTTTATTTCGGAGGAATATAGCCATAGGATGACAATTACTGATGAGCATAAAAACTGGAGCTAAAGACCATATAAAGAAGAAAACAGAACTGATGTGGGAAGAGATGAAAAGATGAAAAACTAAGTAGAGATGAAAATTGGAATGAGCCAATTTACAAACGAAAATGAACAAATCACAGCCAGGTAACTCTGAATAAGATTAATTGCTACACATTTCCTTCCTCTTCACAATTTTTAGCTTATTTAATCTTCTATTCCACTCTTCTATGTAACAGTGCTATACTCTTATAAACTCTGATTCCACTGTTACATGAGTTTGATAGCTGGGTGTTGAGTGAGATCCTCCATTTGCATAAACTGGTAGATCACTACTGACTTTGGCAATGTTACTCAAATTTAAGCCAGCCGAGGATTTGCTCCATTGACTTTCATGGATTTATTTTTAATTTATTACTCTGAGTTCAGAATCAAGAGCTCTGGATATAAATCTTGAACATAAATAGACAATTTCCAAATCTAAACAAGTATAGCCACAAGTACCATACAGAAAAACAAGCTATGCATGAATAGAACTGTCTGAAAAGTTAACCAAATGTTGCTGTGCATTTATTAGTATTTACTGTTTATTAAACAATAATTCAAGATCCAAAAAACCTAATTAATTTAAATGAAGTATTGTTTAGTGAAATGGGAGCCTGTCAAAATAATTGTTGGGAGGACAATTAATTGGTACAAATGTGAGTGTAAATTTTGTTTTTAAACTTTAAAGCGTGTCATTTGTAGTATACAATGTATGTGCACAATACAAATTTCATACATTTTTGTCAGTGACAATAAAAAGCACAGTTTATTATAAACTGAAGTAAAAATTAAAAAAAAAAAAAATCACAGTTTTGTCATTGGTATGTGAAGGTTGTTCCAAGGGCCCATCCAGAGCTCCTCTTCATCTGACTGTGTATGTTCACTGTGTGACTCCAAGGGCTCTTTGACATCCTCATTATCAACAATTGATTCTTGCTCTCCTGTGCTTTTCATTTTGGAGGCCCCTGGCTTTGTTACTGTATTTTCGGCCCCTATAGTAGAGGAAGCAAACGAGACACTGCAAGGTCTTGTGTTCATTTTATCAATAGAAGATGGTCCCTTTGACAATGTGTTCAGTGGGACATTCTCCTCATGTGTCACTGCAAGCTTGTCCAGTTTCTTGAATTGTTTCCCCAGCCTCACTGGAGATGTGACTTTTAAATTATTACCAAGGCAAACACGCCGGGTTCTGACAACAGAGCCATTCTGTGCAATGTAGATGTTACCATTGATGTTGTTTTGAATATTTGGGTTATTAAGACGATTCCTCTGGCTGGAATCAGGAGCGCTGTCCTCCCCAGTGGAGCTGGTCTCATACTCTGTGTCGACTATCATCTTGATCCTTTTCTTTCTGGCCCACTGTTTGGCAACAAACAGAAATGTCATTAAATCTTAGCACTATTTCTTACATTTTCCTGCCTTTTTTCTATCTGTTTTTTATCTTGTCTTTCATCTAGAGACTCATATGAATTTTTATTAACTTGTTTTTTTGTACCCTTCCTTTTAGCTTGTACACAGATCTTTCTTAATTGTTTCGATTGCCACTGTGTGCCTCTATCATATATACCTAATGCTTGAACACACAAACAATGCTTTGTACTATAAAGTTATAAGCCTGATAAATTCATTTCAGTTTATGAACAGCATAATGCAAGACTGTAAGAAAACTGTGATGTTTTTCTTCAATTTGGAAAGTAGTTAAGTAGTTACAAATTTGGGTTGTTTGGGGTTTGGGTTTTGGTTAATTTTTTTCCTACAGATGCATTCAGCTGTGTTCCCATTAAGTAGAAGTGCACCGTCATTGGAGAATCCTGAGAATGGAGATATTACTTTCTGAAAGAAAACTTCTATGAATCATGATAGTTGTAAGCCAGTCATATTTTGACAAAGCAGTGCCTCAGTTTGTCCTACAAAGGAAAACAACTAGATTAATAACCCCTTCTAACAGAAACTAGAAGGCACTGATGATGAAGCCATTGTGTAAGTGATACTTCTAAGAAATTTCTGTACTGATAAGTAGATGCTAGAATGGCCTTAGAAGTTTTCTTCCAGAGCATTACTACATTGTAAATTCAGTGCAGAAATGGCATTGAGCAGGTCTGTTTTATATGCACAACACATCAAGCAGAGAAAGATCTTGGGACCGACACAAGAGAAATTCTCAGGCACGATGTTGGTAAAATTGGCTGGTTAAAAAAAGAAAAACTTGATATAAGGCTTTCTGCGCATTCCAATCTAATGGAATCTTTGCTGTTAAATGAGAGATGGTGGAGAAAAGTGAGTTTACTTTTTGCATAATTTTTATATTTCTTAAAAGAGTTAATGTAAACAATTTCCATGTTGCTGTGACTTTGTACTAATAATGATTACACAAAACACACTACTTAATTTATAATTGATATTTTTAAAATACATGCCTCCTTTCAGTAGACTGAAACAAGCTACTATCATTCTTAAATTCATAATGAAAACACTGTTATTTCACTATTGCAGCAGATACCATCACAGTTAACTCCCACTGCAGTACATACACATGCACACAATAAAAGCCAGTTTTTAAAGAAAGTCATGCAAGGTTCAAACAGTGGTGATTACTCTTAAGCTTCTGAGAAGTTATACTTTGTACAGATTACTTAGATGTCTACTCTTTTGCTCCTTATAAAGACATACAATTTTCTTCACACATATATATTCGCGTGGATGAAAAGACTGAGTAGTTTAAATGGGATTTATGTTACAACACTTTGTGCAGTGACAAGTCCATGCTATGTGGGAATACAAAAAAGTAGAAAAGCAATCATAAATCTAGTTCGCATTTCAACTGGAATTAAAGACAGTAGTTTTAAAATTAGTATCATGCTTTTCAGCTGAACACCAGTTGTCCTCCACAGCAGGCTCAAGTACCTTAAAAATTCAAACATTTTTCTCTCCCCTGTCTAACAGAAACTTCACGGCAGAGCTTTGGTGCATATGCCAGAATTTGTAATAGCTTTAAAGTACTCACAAGACTAATCCCATACTGGTTCAAACCTTTAATTTTATTTAGGCTTCTTACGGCTTATCTGGATAAATCTGGTGGCTGAGAAACAGCTCGTTGGCTGTGGGTAAATAAAGCACAGATAGCTTGCTTGTATACCAAGCTTACGTACTCCGTGCTGACAGCACTGATAAGAGCTCTGTGAGGAGATATATCATGCGAAGTTTCCTCATTACATGAAAATAACACAAGTGTCAATAACACAAGTCCTTCCTATGCAATCATGTTCATTCTGAGCTGAATTGTGCTAATGAGAGCACTACAAAATTTCTCTATTGAATGACATAAGACATTACAGGCTACTGAATTTTAAAAGGCAAATACCAAAATATAGAACATACATGATGGTTACCTTCAGCAATACTTTGCTGTTATGCATGTCAAACTTTTAAACAGATGTTTAAAAAAATAATAAAATCACTGTACTGTTAGGTGGGAAGGACAGAAGCTGGAAATGTAATCCATTTTCTTTTCTGACCAAGCTCACTTTGCACACATACCTCTGCATTCCTGTCTTGCACACCACTGGTACCTGAAACCTGAATCCCATGATCCAGAAACAGTTTAATCCCAGCTCTGCTAGTAACACTCTGCAGTTTTAGAAGCATTGCTTTGCTGCAATTTCAGTTGTCTTCCCTGCAAACACAGCTAATGTTTACAGCAGAGAACTCATTTGAAGATTGCCAAATGTTGTATGATGGGAATGTTGTACAGTTTCACATAAAGTGAAACCATGTACGACTTCTAAGTCTTTTCATCCTCATTCCTGTTCTTCACTGAATTCCAGGTTTTGCCCTTTTTCCTTTCTGCAGCATTCCATTTTGTGACAGACACAACCTGCATGAACACAGGCTCCTTAATAGGTTTGTGCCATCAGGTTCAGCAAGCTATCCATCACAGCTAAAGCAAAATGCAATGTTACTTCAGAATGTGCATAATGCAAAAAAGATTAAATCTAAGAAACAACGCAATGCCTCTTTAACCACATTACTGAATCACTGAAACTAGCAGAGAAAAAGAAGTACTCCTTCATGCCACTGCTTAATGAAAATTAATTTTTCTATATCTACCACTAAGTATACCTGAGTAGTGTCTCACAGGAATTATATTAATTTGGTTTTATACTGTCTACTCTTAAGACAGGGTTCAAATGCTGAAGCAATAAGCTTTAACATTTTCTTTTTGTCTATCTCTAGTCAAGCGTGTATTTCTTAGGAAAGACCACACAGAAGGCACAGCAAACAAGATCACTCTTTACTGCAAAATGTTCACCTACTGTTGCTCCTTTTTAAAAGGATGTAGAATCACCAGCAGTCTCTGACTCTGTAACGCCAGCATCCAGGGTCTCATCTGACTGGGACTGACTGTTTTCCTGAGACATCTTTTTTTTAATTTTCTTTCTTTTTGTGTTGGCGTCAGAACTTTGATTCTCAGACTCAGGGGAAGTAGTGGTTTTACCAGAAGTGGCACTAGTTGTGCTTTTTGTCCCTTCAGTTCCTTTGGAAGTAGCACTGATTTCACTTTCTAGACAAGAAGATTCATTCTTACTGATAGCTTCCTCCCTGTCACTAGCATCTGTATCAGCCTCTTCTGTGCTTTCACCTACACTATCCTTACCATTAACAGCTGATTTTCCTTTCTTGTCTTCTTCAGTAGCATATATTTTTGCATTGGCAGATGTTTCAGAAACTGCCTTATTTGAGTTACATGCTATCTCATCAGGGATTGCACTAACTTGCTCAACATCCACTTGTTCATCTTCTTCTGACACTTCTTCTATTGTTTCTTCTATTTCAAGGCTGGCAGAAGAGGTTTTGCTCTTATAGCTGGATCCTGAAGCTTTCCTGTAGCTCATGTCCCTTTCACTATCTGATACATTAGAGCTAATACTTGATTTATGGCTGCGTTGCCTTGCTCTGACACAAGAGCTACCTTCCCTGCTTTTTATACTGGACCTTTCAGAGCTTCTTCTGCTGCTGGACCTGCTACTCCCTGATTTGCTGCATGAACTTCGTGTAGATGAGCTCTTTGACAGGCTACCATCTTCATCACTGGTAGAGTCTTCCTCATCATCATCCTCTTCAGATGAGTCCTCCTCCGATTCACTGCTAGAGCTGGATCCAGAGTCATCATCAGAATCCCCAAAATCATGCCCAGTTTCTTCATCCGAGTCCACAGTACTTTCAGTGGCTTCATCTTGGTCCAGAGTAACTTTCAAGTAGTCTTTATCTTCCGACTCTGAGCCAGAGCTGCTACTTTTCACTGACGATTCATCCGAAGTGTATTTTCTTCTCTTCTTTTTCTTCTTCTCATAATCACTATCCTCGTGTTCACTCTCTGCTGTGATATTTATTGAAACTCCTGATTTTGCTTCATCTCTTTCATATTCTTCTTCTCCTTTTCCTCTTGCATGCACTAAATCTTTGCTAATAGGCTCCTGAAATTTTCTGGAGACACTAATGCGTTTTAACACATGATTTAGTTTTCTCATTGAAGGCCTGTCATCTGTCGATTTCTGAAAGTAACTTCCCCTGATAATCATACTTTTCTCACTGCCCACTTGGCGAGCTGACGTCAACTTGGCATAACTGGAATCTTTCCTGCCACCCTTCACTTTATGCAGAATCATTGGGAATATCTTTGCTTTCTTCCATGTAGAACGAGCAGACTCAGTTTTTCCTACTGTTTTGTGAGCACTGACTGCTACGCGACTTAAATGCATTACTGCTTTTAGTTTCCTTTTTCCCTGGCTGTGCTCTTCCATGTCTTAGATCCATCCCACCACCTAAAGGTCTACCTTCTATTTGAGCCCCTGCTCTCTGGCTTATACCTCTGCTGGAAGGACCTCTGCCTTGACTCATCCCCTGCAAATTATGAAAATGGAACTTGATTACAATTTGAAAGATAGTTATTGTGAAAACTTGTGCCCTAAAATAAATCAGTAGGAACAAATATAACATTTTTTCCCAGCATCAAAACTAACTTAGCTGTTTTAGAATAGCTTTTTACCGAAGTTATGGGGAAAGTTATACTTCTAGAATACGCTGCAAGTAAATAACTACCTTATTCTACAACAGGGAAAAGTACTGGCTTAGAAATGTCAGCTCTCCTCATTTAATTAAAACCCATAGACTTAGAGTCTAGTATTTCTGAAAATTAGATTTTAAAAAAGGGAACACTTATGTCAAGTTTTTTCTGGCTGCCACTGACATTTTAAAATTTCTTTACATTCAGTTGTGAACTTTATGATAAATGAGTTCAGGTGACTGCTTTTCTCAGTGGAAAATCACCAGTTATAGGCTGAATATTAGTAATACCCCATTTGTTTAACAATATAAAATGGAATTACCTAAGGCTATGTGGATTTTTTTTGGTAATAGAAATCTATATAGAGGGAAAAATAGATGTGGCTAATAAAAGAAACTTTGCAATTCCTTTTTATATCTAGAAAAAGGGAAAAAGGTGCTGACACAAACTTTACCAGTCATCAGAAGGGCAAGCAATGATTAGCACTGGAAGAGCCACTTACTAGGTATATACAGAATGCAATATTTTAATCAATTACAAAATATGTTTGACAAATTTTGATGGTCCATCTTGTTGCAGAGACAGAACCAACACACCAGATACTTACCTCTTCTGCTGTCGATCCATGTGGACTATAGTAGTAGCCACCGTCATTCTCCACCATGACTTCCCCATACTCATCGTACATCCCTGAAGGAGACAGCAGTCGTCGGCGGCTCCCATATTGAGGCAGTTCATACCTGGCAAAACCACCATTGTCTCTTCATAATGTGCACCAATGTGTTCACATGTGTCTCCACACACAGCAACAAATGCACATGTTCATTTCCCAAAGGACAAGAATTTACTTGCTCTCTTTTCTCTCTACCTTTGAAAAGATTATTATTCTTTTTTCCTTAGTGGTAACACAATCCAAAACCTCTTCTTACTGTGATTGGCTGCAAGCCCATTAAAACTAGAGGGTGACCTGAGAGTGTCTCTGGGATCAGTCAAGAATACCCCAAGTACAGTGACCTTCTTTACAGATCATTGGACCTGATTTTTGGAGAATCCTTTTTATAATTAGGACATGAAAGAGCAGGTTCCCTGGGATCAGTTCTGGAGCATCCCTGCAAGCTTGTAAGAGTAGCAATAACCTTAAAGTGCTTGCAGTCAGATGAGCATTGTCAGAACAAGGCAGGATGAAATTTTTCTAGATAAATGTAAAAGGCCAGACACTGGCTGGTAACTGTGAGTAGAGAGTAATAGTTACTGAACTCAGGCTGGTGAACTGCAGAAGGGGAGGAGACGATGGAAATTTATTTGCAAGGCAGCAGAAAACTGTGAACAAAAAAGTGAATATAAAACCAGCATGATAGACGGGGTATACACTCTCCAAGCATAATAGATTCCTAAAGAAGCAGTGATTTATACAACAACCCGTTAACTTTTTAAAAGTTTTGTTGTCAGTGCATGCTTTCATGAACACAAAGATTAAAGTAACCCTGAGATGAAAGAAAATCTCCAGATTACATGCTGTAAAAAGAAGTATCACCAACCTGAAAAACAGCATTTTCAGAAACATAGAGGAAAAATTAAACTATACCCATGCTCATAGCTGTAATAATCTTGCCCATAGTATTCCTGTCCTGGATCAATTCCAGACTCCATACTTAACTCCTGGCAAAAGAGAAACACTGAGTGAATGCAAACAGTTACACACAGCAATGACTGATGAAAAAGGAGAAAAAGAACAGTATATTACAGTGCAAACAAGCAAAATAAAAAATTTTAATAATCTGAGGAACACTTACAACTGTCAAAAACCACGATGAGAAGCCTACAGGAGCTTTAAATGACCCCTTCTCTTGTGTATACTGTGTAACTGTCCAAAATCAGCTAAACACAGATGCTGTTATGATTCTGGGACACTGTCTCACTTATCCTATACCCTCATTCGGTAAACTGGACTCTCTGCAAGTACATTGTCACTTCTTGCATCTCTCTCAAAGGAAGAAACTGCATTGAAAGATAAGGACTATTTTTTATCTACACTGCTTGCCAGGACTCGTTTTAAAAGTTTTCTCAACCATTAGCAATCATGAGCACCACTGGACTAAGCTAAGTACTTTTTTTGTATCCTACAACAGTGGCATGCATGTTGCCTCTTTCTCACAGCTTCCTATAGGTTTTCCTTCCGTCCAATGAAATGAAAACTTGTGTCAGAGCACCTCATTGTAACTACTTATAATGACTGCAGAAATTATCACCATTCTGTACCCCAAAAATACCATCAATAGCAATGTGTCACAAAAGCTACATTTGCTCTATTGCTTATTCTGTAAATGATACTGAGTCTAAAAGATCTGTAACAGAAAGTATTTGGTTTATAATTCAGACCTGCCTTTGCACTTCACAGCAGTGTCCTAAGGCTTCTATTATCCTGGCAGGCCAGCTCTAGGTACAATAATCAATTATCAGTTGACTGACATCTTAAAAAATAGATTGCAGTTGGACAGTGAGAAAATTACTCTTTCTGTGAATCTGGACATGAAACTAGGAAAGATTTCAGTCTGTGTGATCCAAGACTATGGGAGCAGCTGAGAGATGCTCAAGGGGAAAATACAAAGATGCAGTAAATTTCAGGTATTTATATAAATGTGATAACAATGTCGGGACTTTCCTTTTTATCTGAGTCAGGAGAAAGTATTACCTAAGACAAGATTTTATTAGGAAATTATGTAAAAGCCTTTTAAAAAGTTATAGAATAATTAAGAAATAAAAAATAGAGGTACCTCTGGTCTGAGAAGAGAAGGTCTCAGCAACTGCTGTTGCTACAGAAAAAAAAAAATCAGAAAGGGATTAATTAGGCAGCAATAATTAGAATGCAGGTAATTTGTGTTTGAGTTAAGATTGGAAAGAAATCCTACAAACACAGATGTTTACCGTACAGTACTCACCTGGGTACTTCCATACTAAGTCAGAAGTAGAACACTGCTAAGCAGCTAATGTAAGAAAATAACTTTACAGTCCACTATTACTTTTGCCTAGTAAAAAAATCAAATTCCCAGTTTATGTGGTGATTCTCTAAATTATTCAACTTAAGTACCTCTGTCAGGGCCCAAGAGAACTATTATGTGGTGTATGCTGGAGACAGCAGGGAGACAATGCCAGACAAAAAATTATCCACGACAGGTAGAAAGCAATTCTATGGGAATCTGCAGTAAAGTCTGTGATTCAGCTATTGAAAACCTGAAGTGATTTGATTTCTTACCCAAGCTTCTACTGCAATACTATCACTTTAAATCTCTGTCTATTCTCAAATACTTCTGTGGCTTTTAACTGAGTACTTTGCAACCACAAATACACTTTAATTCTCAATACCAATTAGACAGTGAAGAATTCTCTCTCTCGTTTTCTCTACCACTTATGTGTGATTTCTTTCTGTATGCAGCACACAATGAGAAAAGCATGCTGACATGAGGGAAAAGATCCCAGGCTGCATGCAGAATGATATGGCTGTTCTCAGGTGTGTTGCAGTTAAACATGGGTCATGTTTGGTACTCATGTTCTTAATTACTCTCCACCTCCGGTTTTCTGCAGATTGCAGACCAATGCACAGCGCTCGCTGTTTTGTAAATCAGAATCAGATTTACTCAGGAAAATCAATCAGGAAAATCAAGTTTTAGTATTGTCCCCATACTCCTCCCAAAACTTGGTGGCACTATATCAGCCAAGTTTCTTGGCCAAAAAACAAACCCTGAGAGATAGGGATGTTCTGCATCCAAACTGAGATGCACAAATCAACCCTGCAAAGAGAGATCACAGCAGAACAACAAAGAAGTCTTGCGATTTGTAAGACACTACTGACTAAGGAGCTCCAGATGCACTCTCTTAAGGTTAGTAAAACTGAACCAGCTCTCAGCACTAAATATCAGCCTTTATGTCTGAAATGCATTTTGGAGAACTTCCCAATTATTAAGTGAGTTTGCTCAGATTTCTGAAAGAAACATTCTGTGCTATTTCTTGCTGGAGAAAAAGATATTGTGAGAACAACAGAATACACTGAGTTGCTGAGAAGGTCTGTGTAGTCCAGTACCTGGCCTGTAACAGTGGGCAGTGGCGTGTCATAAGAAAACACAGCAAGCATGGAGGGGATTCCCTGGCAAACTGCTTTTGGCAGTTTGTCAAGCAGCAATAGGCAACTTCTAGCCTGGAAGTTACATTTGTGCCACAATAGTAAAACATTTTCTGGTTCTAAACCACCCAGTAACAATGAGTTTCACATCACAGGTTGTATGGGAAAAGTATGTTGATGTAATTAATATTTAAATGTAATTGGGGAACAGACTTACCTCTTGCTGTGCGTATCCTCGCCTAGAAGTCAAAAAAAAAAGAAAAAAAAAATTAGTATACTTCGGCGATGCTATATAAAGATGCATATTGCCATTCTTTCTGGAGAGAGGTGAAAAGATAATGTAATTACAAATATCACTAGCAAGAAAAGAAATATATATCTACAAATACAAAGAATGTTTTTATTTAGGTTTACTCTGGACATATGAGTCATTGCATGAGAAAGGCTAGTGAATCTTTGGGATCTTTTCTTGCTTTAGATTGCAAATGAATGAGAAGAAATCCCCAATCCCCAACAGCCAGAGAGCCAGTGCACCCTGTGGAATTCAGCAAAGGGAAAGGGGTGAATGCTGTGTTTGGCTTTCCTTGTATTCTTGCGAGAGTCATCCTGCCCAGTCAACCTCTCTGTTGTCTCAGAGACCATCTACAAAGAGACTCTGTTATTTCACTCATCTGCTTAAGCAGTAATCCAGTTTCTCTTCTACTTCTGGACTTTCTGTATCCACTCAGGACTTCCTAGAAATTGGTCTGGAGCATCTATTACTTGTAGCAACAATATTATTAAAATTATACTTTTCCTAATATTTGCTCAGCAGGGGGGAGTTAAATTATTTTTGCTATCTATGATTATTTTGCCACAGGCTTTGTGCTTTTGATCTTACTGGAAGTTTTCTGTTGTTTTAATTCCTTTTCTTGGTGCCATTCATATGCATGGCAAATGCACTTATGTCTATCAAGTTCTCTATTTTCACATTTTGTGACAGAAGATTAAAATTGTTTAGACAAAAGTAGGGAACAGAAATTTAGGTCTCAGCATTATTGTTAAGGATAAACTTGGATATATTTTTTTTTTCTAAAGAAAGAAAGGGTAAATGCTCAAAATTATGTTGAGCTTAACCTAGTACACACACAGCAGTCAATAGAAAGCCTTTAATTACACTGGAGTAAATAATAAAGAACAGAGTAGAAGTCCTTTTATTCTTTCATATCACTATCTATGAAGTTTACTGTTAATATTCAGCACATGGAAATGATTATGAGCATTAAATTAATGCTGTTGCCCATATAATATAAACTGAGGAACAACTGAAATGAGGATTTATCATCAAAAGATCATCTATGACTTTTCAAAGCCCACTTGAGGAACACTGTGTTTAGTTTCCATATTGCCTACAACAATCTTCGGATAAAGAAGGTCTTGTGTTGCATAGGAGACAAGTAAGCTTGTTACTTTTAATTGTTCTCAAGTAGTCACTATATTTCAGATTAAAAGCATATGTAATTCTAATTAAATTTGGAATTCAACTTTCTTAAAAATAGCACCATGCTGTGTTTTGATAAATGCTTATACTTCTCTTACAGTTTTGTGTGGCCATGATTAGAAGAAAAAAAACAAACCAAAATACAAAAAAATACCCATCCACTCAATACAGCACAAGGATCTATTCTGACAAAACAGCAAAGGTCAAACCATCATAATTTGTTTCCAGGAAGTATTTGAAACACTCTACCAAGGGAATACTTGCTTCTGGATAAACTTTATCAATCAGCCAGACTTCACTGCAGCCAGTCAGAGAAATCTTCAATGCAAAATGGGAAGCAAGGACATAGTGCCTATGATAATGTAGGATAATATGACAGCTAGTATACAATGGTGGTACTTAACATGAAAAATAAAACAAGAATGGAATTAGATGTACAAAATCTGCCAACAACCTTTCACAGGTCTGTATTGCTAACATAGGTTAAAGGAACTGTGATTTGCTTAAAGCAACTATTTTCCAAATTACTGACATCCCAGCAGGCATTTGCTACATTGTACTCTCTGTCTGTTTTCATATTAAAAGTAAAAGCATTGTAAGCCCCGAATACTACAGATAATACTCAGAGGACACAACTGCTTGTAAATTTGCCCTGACTCTTAAAATGGAGGCTTCCTGAAGTTCATAGCTGAAACCGTGAAGAAAGATTCTGGAAGGGAGATGAGTAATGATATGCTATTGCTTGATTTCAGCTTTGCAAAACAGGTTTGCAAAGAAGCACTCTCCACTGATGCAATTTCTGCTCCTGCTCAGAATTCAGCCCAGTCAAACCAATGATGAAAAGATGAGAGATATATCCAGTGTCACATCTGACCGTAATTAAACAAATCAGACAGCCTGAAGAGGGGTCAAAACACTTATATATGCTCAGCTTCTTACCAGCTACAATATTGGTCATAACGCTTTGTAGTGCTGCAGAACTGCAGTAGCATCCAGACATCTCAATGGAACAGAACTTCCCTGGGTTAGGTTAAAAATACATGTTCTTGGTACAGTTTCTTTTCCAGTCTAATAGAATAATTTTCTAGCAAAGACTATTCAAAAATCAGCAGGAGAACAAAGGTTGCATTAATTCCAGAAAAGATCACACTAGGTTTTGTAAACTTTCTGACTTAAGAAAGGTTTCCAGAAAGAGAAAGCAGGTGATCCTCATTAGTAAAGAGCTGATCACCATGACCCCCACAGACTCTTCTGAGACAGATGGAACTAAATATTTAAAAAGGAGCACATGTGTGATGTCAATTGTTTTGGCTTAAGGAGTGCCAAAAATGGTAGTAGCTGAATAACTTCATTGGTGTTAATGTTGTGAATTACTAAACACCTGTAGGTCTACTGCATGACACTGCACACTGCAAAATCAGGTCATAATTGTCTTTCAGTAGTGATGTAATGAACTGCACAAAAGCATCTGGTATGGGTCTACAAGATCCCATTAAGGGCTGATCCACTCTGAACATGCTTAGCACAGTAATATGTCATGCTCATGTCTTCAGACTTTCCACTGTCCCATTGTTTGCATGGCAGGACCATAGCATACACACAGAAGGGAGTAAACATGTAAGCCATCTTCCTATTCTGGCTCTTAAATCTTAAAAGTTTCTCTACCTAATAATGGCTGAACTTTGACGTTTTGATGCTTATGCTGCAATTGTGTCACTCTTGGAGAATTTAGCATCATTGGCAGGTATTCCACTTATGTGCATCTCATAAGTTATACAGATTCTGTTACAAAATCCCTCACACATATACATGACTTGGAAGTACAGTTTATCCCAACAAGAGTTTTAAATAAAGAAAAATTCTAATGTCAGTGAAATTTGTGTGATGGTATTCATGGATTTTGGCTCTGGGACAAAGAGAGAGAAACTACCTTCAGCAGTTTCCAGCTGAAGCATCCATACATGTCCTAACTGCAGATTTAAACAAACAAACAAACAAAAAGATGAAAGAGAAAAAGCCAAGCACCATGGAAATGCTGACTATCTCTAGACATTCTGATAAATAATAATTATCTTTTTGCTCAGAATTACAACATTTGATACTTAACTGAATTTTTAGTTTTTCTTCATTATGTAATATCTGCCCTTCCTAATATGCTTTTTAAAATTGTCATATTAAACACAAACGTTTTTAATTTTGGCAAAATACTAAGCCTAACATTCCTTTAAATGACAAAACCGCTTTTTCTTATCACTTTTTTTCCCAAAAGTGCTTATTTACTCTATTTGAAATATTTAATGCAAAGATCTGATTTAGATGACTGTGAGCAAAAAGTAAAGCAAATTCATATTTCATGGATTTTTACAAGTACTTCAAAACTCTTCATTTGGTAACACTAATCAGAGTGACTTTATTACAGTTCAAGCAAGATGTTTCTGCTGTGAAGCTCATGGCAAACAAGCATGAAAGTTAAAGAGAGACACCAAAAACATGCATATGCAAAATAAAAAACAAACAAATGCTTTGTACATTAAATAAATTTACAAAATGAAAAATTTTAACATGCAGTTACAATATAAAAAATGCAATGGAAGGCAAAACATAGATAGCAGGAGGAAAGACAGCCAGGTTTACTGACAAATCAAGACAAAACCTTTCTTCTCACTTGAGATGTAAATGTGAGGTGAAAGAAAGCATGCCAGCATAGCAGGTTGCTGCGTCATCTCCCACAAATATGGAGATGCATTACTGCAATAACTCCGTCTCACTATTGCTAAGCCTTCTTACTACAAGTACTTGCTTTCTTTGACATCCAATATTTAACAGTAAGATCCTTCCCAGGTGGTACATTTTATGGGCAAAGCAAGAGATTCCAATTACATCTGTAGAAAAATCACTCTGCTTACTGATATTGCCTACAGTGAAGGCTGCTTAACACAAAGCAGTATCAAGCCCTCTGCTGTCTATGACCAATCCTTGTGTAAAAATGGACAGTTTTCCTCAAGAATTTTTGGTAAACAGGCTAAGAACCAGCATCATAGAACAGTAAGATGTAGCTCTGAGAAAACAACTTGTAGAACTATTATACATTACAAATTTCTGAGTGAACAGGAAAGACAATGTCTCTCAATTTGGGATTAGGACTGATTAGTAGTGATATACAGCAGAGAAAGGGAAAACGTCTGAATGTCTAGATAGTTTGAGGCAGATACCATGTGCTGCATTAGAGTCATCTCATTCAAAATGTTACACACAGAGAACATCCAACTGTAAATACTACAGTGCTGTCGACTGAGATGGAAAGCGTTTCTCAAGCTCCTCCACAACACAGCTCAAGTCGCCATTCTGCTGGTTGTGGTCAGCCACAGCTTCTGGAGTTGGCAGCTCTGGTGTTGCAACCGGTTTGAGCTTAGGAACGTGCTTGGGCAGAACGTGGTTTTTGTCTATTTGGCTATACATATTGGCCACAGACTTTTCGATTGCTGCTAAATTCTGAATGTTTTTAAGAATACCTTTCAGCTCCCTACGGGGAGGAGGCTCTGGCACTGTGGCCGGTGGTGGTACAGCTGGCTGTTTGGCAGGGGATTTTGTATGCTTGGCAGGGAAGAGGTTCTGGGTGTTAAGAGGAAATGAAGAAGAAGAAAAAAGAGAAACTGTGGGTGGAGGTGGAGTATGTGGTGGCAACAGAGGAGGGGATGGAGGTGGTGGTGCTAGTGGAGGTGGCAGCGGTGGAGGTGGGGGTGGGGGAATTTTAGGTGG